TGGCGCCGACATCCGGCTCTGACCCTGGAAGACAAGTAATATTACGCATGCGCAAGGGCAAAAGCGCGCCAAGTCTTGGCCCAGCCCAGGGCGTCTTGTGAGGTAATGAGTAAGCAGCCAATCATAGACCACACGCCGCCTTAGGGTGTATATAAGCAGTGCCATTCCTGGGCTCGGGGTCTTCCTCCTCTCATCGCTTGACTGCAATAAAGCTTGCTGCAGAAGGGTCCTGTTGTCCGTGTGCGTTCTTGCTGGCGAGACGAGCACGCGGGTTGCAACACAGCCAGTGCTCTTAACCTCTGAACCATCTCTCTAGCCCCAAGAACAGGAGTTCTATGGCCTTCCTTGTGTCTGGAACCATGAGGATAAACGTTTTAGTTTGGCTTCATTTGCACTGTGATTTGAAAAATCAGAAGGACAGTGGCTGCAGTCACAGAGAATCAAATTCTGCCTTATCCACACAGGTGACAGCCTTTGGGCTGCCTTTTTTTTTTTTTGTTCTGCCTCTGCATGGCTTCTTTTCCTTATGACACCCTCTAGTCCAAGGAGGCATCTGACATTCACCATTAAATCCACATGCCAGTGAGCAGAAAGGAGAGGGCTGGGAAGGGACACACTCATATCTGTTTTGCTTTGAGACAAGGTCACTCTGCAGTCCAGGCTGCACCAGATCTCACTCTGTAGCCCACAAAGCCTTGAACCTACCACAGCCTCAGCTGAGCTGCAGGCACAAGCTGAGGCGTCCAAGCACTTCACAGAAGTCCCGTGTGCTCCTCTCCTTCCCTCCACCAGCCCAGAAGGAACTGAGGCCGCACCGCCCTGCTGCAGGGACGGCGCCTCTGGCATAGGCTGTGGAATACCAAGGTTAAAAGAGGAGTTCTTTCTAAGGCAGGTGGACAGGAGCAGCACGGAGATGCCAGAGGCCTCTAGACTCCAGCAGCAATCCTGGATCCTGAGGCTGGGTGAGCAACAGAAGCTGAGAGTGAGCATGCCCAGCTGGAGACTTGGCCACCTACGGGCAATGAGCACTAAGCCTTGTGTGGTCAGAGAAAAGCAAAGTGGACAAATGGGCCCTATTGGTATGGAAAAGGGACAGTGGCAGTGACAACGAACTGAAAATGTGCATTGTCTGATTGTCTCAGATCAAATGAGCACACACCACCCAGGATAGGAAGAAGTCCCACAAGAAATGATTCTGAAATCTCTGCCACAAAGGGACAGTGGGGAGTCAAACCATAGCCAGACTTGGAAAAAAATGGGACAGTGTGACACTTCACCTACTCCACCTCTGAGGACCAGGGTCCACCTAGTAAAGTCCTGAGCTGACAAGGGTGAATTGCCTAGACCCTTTGGAAGCTCAGTCTTGTGACAAATCTAGCACCTGACACATATACTCTTGCCCTGTGATCACACCCCCAGGAGTTTGTTCAACAGTCTCAGCACTCCAATCTTTGTCGGCTGATTGTTCAGTTGGGGATGAGCAGTACCCACGCCATGCCCGTCATTTCCTGTGGCTGCCTCAGTGACTGAAGCAGGTTTACCTTTCTGGGGACACTTTGAGCCACCCCTGCCTGCCTCCATGCCACACTGCGCTCCCAGGAAGAGCGTACCCGGCGGGTGACGGCACAGTTGCTGTAGCTTACTGATCATGCCGTGGGCCCACACCCCAGGGCTGTCGGCCAGGCTTCACATCTAGAATGAAGACTTCAGTGTGAACTTTGTGCAGCACTTGGAACCCCGGCTGCCTCAGTCCTGAGGTGGACACTGTGCCTTCATCACTGACAGCTGTCAACGTCTTTCACATGATGGCGAGTGACTGAATCTTTTTAAGGATGTGCCAACCCAGAGAACATTGACAGAACAGCTACAAGAGTTGGCACAGCTACAACGTCACGGGGAGCAGGAGGGCCTCCCAGGACAGCTGTAACAGCTGATGTGGGCTGACTCACAGCTGCGTGTGGTGGCAGGCCCATGTGAACAAGACTTTGGCCAACTTTGGCCAACTGTGACATGGTTATGTGAATGAGGCTTTGGCCATTGCCATCCAGCCCTGACCAGAAGGTCTCCTTAGAGAGCCAAGTGTGTAGATATTACATTGGCAGAAATAATCCGACAGGTACTGAGGGATTGGATGGTGAGGTCCCTGTTACCGTGTGTATACACAAAGCGTGTTCTGCACACACACTTGTTCCAGAACTGTTTCTGTGAGCATAGCATCCCGCCTCTCCTGGCCCCTGGCTATGTTTCTATCACAGTGTTGGCGCCCAGAAGCTTCTGTGTTAATGAAGCGTTGAGGACCTTGGTCACTGAAGACATGGATACATCTGCTGGTGCCATCCGTATGCACCAGTCAGACTTGATGGCTGTCTCACAGGACGATTCTTAAAAACAGCAAAACAAGCTGTTGTCATGTCAAGCCATTGAAAGTCTGCTACCTCACAGCTGCGCAGTCTTACATTTTAATTTCATTCCTCCTAAGGCTTTTAACCATTGCAGGGGTTTTGTTAACATTTGTAATATGTTTACAGTTGACATTTCTTTGTTTGGCCTTTTTTGTGTGTGACAGAGAGTCTCACTGAACCCAGGCTGACCTCAGACTCACTATGTAGCTAAGCATGATCTTGCCTCCACCTCCCCAGAGTGGGGATTAGATACATGTTCTACCGTATCTGGCTTCCAAATGCTTTTCTTGCATTCTGACATGCAGCAGCCCCAGAAATGATGCACAATCTTTACAAATAAAAACCATCTCAGCTGAAGGTCCATCCTAAGACAGTGTGTAGGCGGTTTATTGGAAAGCGACAGCAGGGAGGCGTGGGTAGCAGCAGGAAGACAAGCCAGCACAGGCCTAGTGATTCAGCATGGATGCCATGGCAACGGTGACTCAGTCCGCAGACCTTCGAGAAGCTGCTGGGATGTGGCTCAGAACTGTCTCCTGAGGGGTGAAGGGGAGGGGGTGTTTATCCACTCCTGTCTGCCTATTTTGGGCTTTAAGTAATTCTGTAGGGGTTAACCCCTTCCTTGTAGGATGACCTACAAATGGCTCCTGTGTGGGTCTGATTAAGGGTTGCACAGAACTGTTTGGGGCACCAGTCCTTAGGGTACAAGGTGAAACAGCATGAAGTGGCCAGGGAGGGGCTGCATTAAAGTATTCGCTCAAACAGGCACAATGTATGCGGATACATCAGGCTCTACTCCAGTCCCACCCTCCTCCATGTTAGCAGCTCTCAGGGTCTATGGTCTGGAGACTACATCACAACGGGGTCTGTGAGATTGATCCTGTTTCAAAATAACAGTAAGACAGCGCTAATCCATGCTCCTTCTCTGTGCAGCGAAGCTTCCTGACGTGTTAATGTACAGACCGACTGAAGAAGCAGCTATGACACACATTCTTCCATAATGCAAAGTTCTAAGATGACTCTATTTGGGCCACAAATTCTGTGCTGGAAAATAAAGGGTTTTTTTGGTAAGAGTAATTTGCCTTAAATTTCATTGTTCTTGAGTAGGCTTACTATTTTATCAATATTTTGGGTTAAACTGTATAAAAGAAAGAGGATTTTTTTGTGTGTGTGTATGATTGTGTGTGGTGCATGTATGTTTGTCCATATATGTGCACATGAGTGTGTGTGGGTATGCTTGAGGCCACACACTTATGTGGTAAGAAGGTGATGGCTGGCAAAGTTAACTTCATAACCAGAAATTGGCTTCCTTCTTGGTGTGTGTGTGAGTGCGTACACGCTGATGTGTGTGAAAGTCAGAGCACAGGTGGAGGAAGCTAGTTCTCTCTCCATCATGTGGACTGTAGGGATCGCACCCAGGTTGTCAGGTTTGTTGGAAATTACCCTAATCCACTGAACCACCTCACAAAATATCTGAAAGGCCCTGAGACTATCTAAGATGGAGAGAAGCCTCACTAAGTTAATCGTAACCCTCAGAAGAAATACAGTCCATAAAGGGAAAACCTCTGGCCCCAGACAACCCCTCATGAGGTGGAAAGAAGCTGCCTCTGGGGGGTGGAATAAAAAGCTGGCTTTGGGGGCTGGAGAGATAGCTCAGAGGTTAAGAGCACTGCTTGCTCTTCCAGAGGTCCTGAGTTCAATTCTCAGCAACCACATGGTGGCTCACAACCATCTATAATGAAATCTGGTGCCCTCTTCTCGTGTGCAGGTGTACATGCAAGCAGAACATTGTATACATAAAAAATAAATAACTCTTTATAAAAAAAAAAGCTGGTTTTGAGGGTACTGTGCGGGCAGTGCTAGTTTTACTCCCAATCATCTCAACGCCTTGCAGGCCTGTCCCTGTTCCTGAGAGTGTGAAGGTGAGCGGCAGATCTGGCCACTTCCTGCTCTCTCCTAAGCAGCAGCCAGTCTTGCTTGAGCCCTCGCTCAGCTAAGGACCAGCAGACAAGACAGTCATTTTCAATTCTAGCTGCAAGTTAGGAGACTTGAAAGACATCCGTTTTGGTTACTTGACTGTGTAGTGTTCTGCTGCAAATAAGACCCCGTTTACTTACGCATTATTCTATACTTTAGAGAGACTTTCCTCAATAACCCAAGTATCTCCTTGTGCTTTCTGAACACTACACTACCTCAGGACTCCATACAGCATGCACTCACAGACAGCATCTCCTTGATCTGTCAGTCAACCTTTAAATGCTCTTTCGGAGAGGTTCTTATTACTCCTTCCCTAGGCTTTAAAAACCCCTGGTCGCAGGAAACGCTCAATATTTACGCAGGCCTGGGGGATGACATAGTGGGTAAGGCATAGACTGTAAAAGCCTGTGAATCAGAGTTCAGGTCTCCAGCACCTACACAGAAGTATGCTAAGATGGGAGGCAGAGACAGGTAGACCCTGGGAGCTGCAGGCCAGCACACCTGACCGAGGGGTTTCTGAGGAGAGACACCCTAAGCTGACCTCTGTGCTCACAGCACATGTGTGCATCCACACCTACACGGCCATGCTCCCGCATGCACACACAGACACACACACACAGCTGATCATAGTCTAATGTGGCATTTTATTTGTCAATTAAAAACTCAACTGAACATACAGTTATCAACTGAATCAATCTAAGAAATCAACCTTCATGCTTTACATGTCAATATTAAAAGGACAGTCAATATAATTATGTTCAAAAGTATTTAGCACAAAACTTGCAAATGTTTGGTCTTAGGATGTGTACACACGACTCAGTTTTGGGTGTCAAGTTCTCTGGCTTCAAGGAAGAACATTCTGTTCACTTCACTAATGGGAATATCTCTCAAGGCTGGGATGGCACCTTCTTGGTAGCTCTTCCACTGCTGATTTTTAGCATAGTTATCTGCAAGACAAGAAAAGCTCTGCTGACCCACGACATTTCTTCCTGTTATTTCTGTGCTTGGCTAAGACCTACCACGCGGCTCAGCAGGCTGATATGAGGAGAGTGGCAAATGCCATCTGCTACTAGTTACTTGTCTCACGCTGTAACAAAATCCCTCAGGAACGCAACTCAAGGGTTTACTCTGGCTTGCTTACATGGGTCCAGGTCACCATGGAGGGAAGGTATGTCAGCAGGAGCTGACCACACTGCACCCAGTCACCAGGCAGACAGGGTAAATGCTTATCTCCAGCTTATCTCCTCTTTATGCAGACCAAGAGCCCTCTACACTTACGGTATTTTCCCACCTCAGGAAACCTACTCAAGATAAACCTCGAATGCTCAGATAACTTGTTTTCATGTTGAGTGTGACTCCCTTCAAGCTGCTGATCGAGATTAACCATCACGCCGTGTTTACCATGACAGATTACTTTCTCCGTGTTTCTGAGGCCCATTCTTGATTGCTTTTCTGATAAAAGTACTAATACCTCATCCCACTATCCCTCATAACTTTATTACATATAAGCTTACCGGTGATCGTATGAATGGAGTCGAGTGGAGAGGTGCTCATCATGTTAATTCCAAATAAGAGTACATAGCCAATGACAACAGCAATAAGGAGGTAGACAGGCAAGGCAACCGCCCAATACCTGCAGAAGAGGATTTTAATGCACGTTAACAAACTTGTTAATGTTAACACATATTGACAAGAGTCAGGAAGCATACTTCAAAGACTTAGTTCATTAAAGCAGCTGAGGCACACAATGGCCAGTCCTACAGGGGTCTAATGGAAAGCTGCAGTCAAGTGTCTAGCCGCTGAGCTGTCCTGACCCTGGAGTCTTAGTATGCCCAAACAAGCCCTTTCAACACCTGAGCTGTTTCTTCAGGTGTTATTTCTACACAACATGTTTATATTATTTGTTGACTTCATCAGCTTCAGACAATTTCTCTCCATGTTCTAATAGGAAAACGAGGATTTACTTCTTCCTCAAACTTTCTTTGTATGCTGTACTTTTATCATGTTGTTAAAACTGACTAGTGACCAATATTTGCAACTGAGAACCTTAGTATATTTTCTTATGATTTTTTTCCCTAAAATTATACATTTCTGTCTGTTTTCACAGTTTCTATCAGTACTCCAGACTCAAATTCTTTTTTGTTTGTTAGTTCTTTTTTGGTTTTTCGAGACAGGGTTTCTCTGTGTAGCCCTGGCTGTCCTGGAGCTCTGTAGAGCAGGCTGGCCCAGAAGTTATAGAGATCCACCTCCATCTGCCTCCCCAGTGCTGGGTTTAAAGGCGTGCCACCCCCTGGTCAGACTCAAATTCTTCTAGGCTTCTCCCTTTCCCTCTCAGCACAGAGAAGCTCGCTAGGCACTCTGTCTAGCCAGGCTTCACTAAACAACTCCCTCCCTACCAGCTTCTCTTGCCAGGACTTCTAATAAGTTTTGTTTTTGTTACCATTATGCTGTCCTCTTTTTTCCATTTCTGCTTTCTATTCTATTCTACTGTCTAACAGTCAGCTTTCTAGGTAACATTTTAATTTTAACTACCATGCTTATAACTCGTCAATGCTAATTAAAGGGAAATCTTCCCTTGGACAGCATTCTCTTCAGCATCCCTTCTTCTTCTTCTTCTTTTTTTTTTTTTTTAAGATTTATTTACTTACTATGTATAGTGTTCTGCCTGCATGTACACCTGCCAAAAGAGGGCACCAGATATCATTATAGATGGCTGTGAGCCACCATGTGGTTGCTGGGAATTGAACTCAGGACTTTTGGAAGAGCAGATGGTGCTCTTAACCTCAGAGCCATCTCTCCAGCCCCCTCAGGATCCCTTCTTATCTCAGAGATTAAACTTTTTTCTTCTATGGGTGAGTTATCTCCATTTCCTCTGAGTTTCTTCTTTTCTTTTGCATTTTAAGGAAATTTTCTTTTACTCCCTGGTATTTATGGCAGTCTATTTATATTTAAATCCAAGAGATAAGAAGTTGACACAAATTAAGGTGTGTACATGGTCAGAGATCGCAGAAATTACAGATCCTGCCTTTTCCCCTGGCCAGCTTCCTCAGGAAGCACCTCCTACCTTCTTCCAGGAGGGGGTGTAATAAAACTGGAAGCCCCATAAGGGACGGTGCTGTGGAGGAACTGGATCTTCATTGTTAGAGTTACTTCTACAACCTGCAGACTCCAGACTGCCCAACACTGGCCACAGGATGAAGGTGTTTCCTGACGGGGGGG